CTGGGCCATGGGACTGGCTGGAGAACTTACTTCTCTACAAACTCGATAGATATGTAACCCTGCCATATTTTAACCTTTCATTAATTTTATATAACAGCTATCTACCAACATATAGTGTATTAAGGTTAAAAAAAAAAAGCCGCTTTTGAAAACTCGTCATAAGGTATCAAGAGTTTCTCTAGTACTTCACTCTCAGTTAAGCTGTGCTTCTCGGTGACAGGAACAGCACAGATTAAAAAAAATGTGCAAGTTTTGTGCTTTGAAGAATCTGCAAATATTTCCATGGAACTATACTTGGAGTTCTAAGTAGACAGGGGAGAGGATGGGAGAGGTTTGCATCTTCAGGCAGAGAAAAAAAGCTGGGAAACAGACACGTGCGCAGGAGGAAAACATCAGCTGAGATCCTTCTGGCTTCACTCACTTCATTCCCCTCCACCCCAAGACATCCAAAGGAAGGCCCAGTAGGGCCCTCTTCTCTGCTGGCCTCTACATGCAGATCTGATTCTGAAGTCTGAGCCACCATAAGTATCAACACCCTACTCACGTGGAAAACAATGTTGTACATCTTTTAATTTTTATTTTCTTAATACAACTTTTAAACTTGTTTCCTATATATCAGACATCTTTTTATTATTTATTAAATATAATTATTTTACAGAGATTCTGGAACTTATCAGCATACTGTGTAGTATTTCTAGTATTCTTTTTTAAATATAGAATTATTTTATTCCATTTGTTGTTATTATTATTTTATTTGACCAGAAAGAGAGCGAAAGGGAAAATGAGAAAGTAAGCTTCCAGGTCTGGGACTTGAACCACAGTCAACCATGTGGGAGTCCAGCACCTTAACCACCACACCACCTACCTGCCAGCCCCAGAGCCACTTCTCATTCACAACTTTATTGGCTATTTGTGCTACTCTTTGCCTTATTTAGATATGTATATAAGATTCACTTACTCTTTTTACTAAAATTTATTTCAGTATATTTTATTTTCTATTCTGCTCTTTCTAAAAGCAGTCTTATCCTAAAAAGACAGCAGTTCTGAGACAGAGGGGACAGGGACAACTTCCCAGACATGAAATCTTGCAGCTGCCTCCACCTAGTGGTAGTTTGTAAGTGGATGACTTAGAAGGGAAGGGCCAGGCGCCCAGCAGGGGAGAATGCTGATAGGATCAACTAATCCAACACAGCTTGGACTTTGAGACAGACCTCAAGCCCTGTGGATGCAGCTCCAGCCCATCAATCAAGGAAGGAGTGCTTTTGAACCTTTGTACTTAGTGGTGCAGAGCAGCATATTTACTGAATAAAGAGGAAGATCCAAAGCTCCTGTGAAAACATGAAGACGATAGATGCCACCCGTAAAGAATCACCTGCTAAATTCAGCTTTGCTACAGCACACTCAACAAAAAAGCATTTATATTGGTCCAGGCAGCTGGATCCTGCAAGGCTGTGCAGTTAAGAATCCTGGACTTGGTGGCTTAAAAACACTGGGTGCATACATGTGTATATGCTCAAACTCCCAAGAGAAAAATGATGGAGAAAAAATTGTGGCATACACATCCTCCTAGGGAGGACTTCTCACTTTCTCTCATTCTCTTTCTCTGGCATGTGCCCTATAGCAAATCTTAAAGAAAGCACTTACACATTACTATCTATCCCATATTAAATATTAATATTCTAAAATTGTATGAGTTTGTTAAAGATGACCACTTGGCATAATAGAATGTTTGGAAGAATAATAAAAACTCTTTTTACCTATTATGTGATGTTTTCCCCCTCCATAACCTGAAGACAATGTGTGCTTTGTTATTAAGTTTTCAATTTTCTCAACAATAACTTAAAATACTGAGGGTCTAAGACTATATGTATATGATCTCAATGGAAAAGCAACCCCAAGAATAAAAACAATTTTCCTTTTCTCGTCCTAGAAAGAATAGATGAAAGTCACTTGAACTAGGGTTGCCTACCTGAGGAGAGGTGCTGTGAAGGGGGAAAGGCTGAGGGTGCTGAGATTAAAAATAAAACAAAACACAAAACAGATCTGGGGTTAGAGGCAAAATAGAGAGATTACTCAGCATTATCCCCAGGAAGATGGCATGGAAATTCACAAAAATTAGTACAGATCCTGTGTCTATTCGAGCAAAGATTTCAAATGACCAGGGTTGAGACCCCTCTGGTCACTACCTGGTGATGGCTCTAGATCCTACTTCCTGTACATTGTCCATGGACCGTCCTGTAGGTAAAGGGTCTTTATCCCCTGAGATTCTCCTGAGCCACCCAAACTTTCTTCTGTGGATGCTCCCCCCAACTCCATCACCTCCGCCCGTGATCCAGCCCAGTCCTTACACCCTGGGAATATAAGACATGATAGCCACATACATTTTCTTTTCTTTTTTAGGTTTTTGCCATAGGGTGCATGTGCTTGCCAGAAAGACAGACAGAGAGAAAAAGTGAAAAATCGCCTCCACCCCAGTAGAGATAGCCATGATGAAATCCCTTTTTGGTTCTCCTCTTGGGATTTTGGGCACACAGTCACACACGAATGCACCAGTGTTATCTATAAGTTGCTAGGTCTGGAATTTGAACTAGTCAGCCATGTGGGCATCCATCACCTTAACCACTACATCTCCTGCTGGCTCCAACCACATACACTTTCAGAGATGATGGGAAGTCCTAGAACTGATTCCTAGATGGTGAGAACTCACATTTGGCACCTGCTGTACTTGTTATATTTAATTGACATCCCTTCTTTCTCTGATCTTATAAACAGAAAAATTTAGAAGCAACTTACAACTTTCATAGTCCATCCTCAGTGGCATAGGTGGTAGCATGTTGAACTGTAGTGCTGGAAGCCACATGAGTGACCCCAAGTTGGAATCTAGAGTTGGTCTAAAATGCAGAGTGCATATACACATGCCCAAGGGCTGATTGTGTGTCTTAATTCCCAGCCCAGGCAGCTTGAAAAATACATTGGGGGGGACCAGCAGTTAGCATAACAGCTATGTCGTTGAACTCCCATGTGGTCAACTGCAGTTCAAGTCCCAGATCTGATGGCTTAAACTCACGCTGGGCGCATGTGTGTGCATGCCCAAGATCCCGAAAGGAGAATGGAGAAGGGACTGCAGTGCAGCAATCCCCCCGGGGGGTGATCTCTCACGGTTGACTACATGTGAGTCCAGCAACATAGCCATTATGCCAACTGCTGGTCCCAATCTATTCTTTTACAGTATCTCTATCTATACTTACCTTCTCTACTGTCATCTTCAGATCTCTCAACTTCAACAGAGTGTAGATATTTGGTACAAATTGAGTGGGAATATACAGTATTTATCTTTCTGGCTCACTTCATTCATCAAGTCTTCTATATTCATCCACTTTGAATCAAACAATAGGATCTCCTTTTTTCTTATAGCTAGATAATAAGCCATAGTATATATGTGCCAATTTTCCAACCCAGTCATCAGTTCTGGGACACTTCGCTTGGTTCCGTGTTTTAGCAATTGAGAATAATGCTGTAATGAATACAGATGTGTTCCTGTCATTCTGTTTTCCTATCCTTTGGGTAAATACCAAGGAGTGAGGTTAATGAGTCATATGGTAGTTATATTTGAGGATTTTTGAGGACTCTCCATATTGTTTTCCACAGAGTTTGTACTAATTTACATTCCCACCAATAGCATAGAATTCCACTACAGCCTCATCAGCACTTGTTCTTTATTTTTTGATTCTAGACATTCTAACTGGGGTTAAATGGAATCTGCAACACTACTTTTTGAACCAAGTCTTTGAAATCCATCATATATTTTACACTTACATCACATCTCAACTCAGATTGGGAATATGTGAAGCGCTCAATACATGTTGGTGGCTCCATATTAAACAGCCAACTTCTTTCACGTTTGTTTCCACCTTTACATCCATCTCATAGTTTATTTTATAGTTGGCTCAAAAAGCATAAAGAAACTCTCTACCAAAGTAAGAGCAGTTCATTCACCAGTTGCTTGCATTTGAGCATAAAGAAAAGGGGGTGGGGCTAGCAGGTGGTGTGGTGGTATGGTGGTTAAGGCATTAGACTTCCATATTGAGGCAGGAAATGGCCAGGCAGGCCACCTACAAGCTAAGCAATGAGGCTCAGGAATGATGCAGAGAATGGCCAGACAGGCCACCTGTAAGATAAGATATATAGCTCGGCAATAAAAGGCCAGCCAATGAGGGGAAAATGCTCAACAGCATAAACACAGCAAATGAGGCAAAGGGAGGTTGTCATTTTCAAAGACAAGAAAAATAGCTACATGGTAAATTCCATGTGATGTATAACTGTTATAGCTTGTCCCCTGTGCCGTCCATCGCCTATGCCTACGTGCTGATTGTACTGCCTGTCCCTGTTAGAAACCAGCATAGCCCCTTACCCTAGCCCAAATCAGGGCCCAGAGATTGGAGTCTGAATTCCTCTGGGTCTGCTGGCATAATAAAACTGAGTTTTCCCACTAAGTGCCATCTGGTTTCTTTCTTTCTTTCTTTCTTTTTTTGGAGAGGTTTCTGCTAGAGGGCGTGTGCGCTCGCCAGACAGAGAGAGAGAGACAGAGAGACAGAAAGCAGGAAATCACCCCCCAGGGGGGATGGCCACACCACAATCCCTTCTCCTCCATTCTCCTCTCGGGATCTTGGGCATGCACACACACATGCCCGGCGTGAGTTTAAGCCACTGGGTCCAGGACTTGAACCGCGGTCAACTACATGGGAGTCCAGTGACATAGCCATTACGCTAACTGCTGGTCCTGCCATCTGGTTTCTTGACAGTCTGGTTTCTGCAACATTTCAGCCAACAGTGGTTCAAATCTTGGGCCTGGTGGCCTGAAAATCATACTGGGCACAAGTGTGTGCATGCCAAAATCCCAGGAGAAAAATCACCCCTGGGGGGTTATTTCTCACTCCCTCGTACTGTCTCTCTCTCTCTCTGGCGAGTGCATGCACCCTATAGCAAAAACCTCTAAAAAAAAAAAAAAGAAAAGAAAAGAAAGAGGGTTACAGAGAGGCCAAAAAGCAAACAAACTCATCCACTTCCTAAAAGTTCTTTAATCATTATTTTTTTCTCTGCATTTTCCTCCCATTACGGAAGAAAAATCTGTATTGGATTCATTTCTCTCTTCCCTTCCTCTTTTTGTTTTCTTTTTTAAATGTTACCAGAGGTGGGTGATTTCTTATTTACCTTCTCACTATCTCTGTTTCCCCTGCCCACTCTACCCACAATGCAGGTGTCCTAAAGCTGAAAAGTTGAAATCTCTAAAAAAATAAGCTGTAATGAAGACTGAAGTTGTTATCTCTTATTTAAATTAGAAGTCAAAGCCACCTAAGTCCAATGGCTTATTTTTAGCACTCAGTTCTATATATATTTACACAAAAACACAGCAATTTCTTTGCTTATTATTGGGTTTTATAAAACCTGACAAAGACAGGAATGTAAAAGTATCGGTCAATTTCTTTCATAAGTGGAGGAAAAAAACCCCCAAAAAACCCTAAACAATATATTAGCTAAAGCATAACCAATACTTCCCATAATGAACAACAATGGTTCAATTCTGGAATTTGAGGTAGATTTAACAATTTAGAAGTCAATGCACTTGGTCATAATAACAGAACAGAAATGACATACAACTGATTATTTCAATAATTAAAGAAAAACTATTTACCGAATTTAAGTTTTTCATTTAGTAAAAAAACTGAAACCAAGAGAAGAGAATTTTCTAAATTTGATTCCCAGGATCAACCAATGTATCTCCATGAAATATGATGCTCAATGATAAGGTGTTGAGACCTGTTCCCACCCACCTCAAGATTCATTATTATTCAAGAATGTTCCCTATCACCTTTAGGTGTATGTTAGTAATGTTCTAAAGGGGAAGAGTGAGAACACAGAAATATGGATGATCAGAAAAAATAGAATCAGGTACAGATAAGCCTCAGGGTCAGGGTACAGCTCAGACGTGGTCAGGATGACAGAATGTTCAAGACCTTGGGCAACGCAAGGTCATGGGAACTCCACAGTTGCAGGGATTAAAATATGGACAAAGAGCAGTGGGAAAGTAATATTTAGAGAAGGTGTAGATGGGGAAGCCATGGTGCGTGACATTATAAAAAGAAACTGTTCCAGCTTCATAGTCTAAGAAAACCCCGATGCGGCGAGGGGGCACTGTCATGGTGAGGAGCAAGGAAGTGGAGGAGTCCTCGAAGGCTCTGTAGTCATGTTTGCGCCGCAACCCGATCACCCAGTACCCACTCTGAGGCCGGTATCTGGAATAAACACTCTCATGGCTGCCATACTGGTCAAAAGAGAACATGGGTCTCTCCGAGTGACTGCACACCCCCAGGATCCAGGCAGTCTTCTTGGTCACATCCACTTCCCAGTAGTGTTTTCCTGAGGAGAAGTGCTGGGAGCCCAGGACACTACAGTCATAATGCCCTTCTGCATAGGGAGGCCCAGACAGACCAGCACCCACGAATCTCACCTGTCTCCGGTTCTTAGACAGGACAAGATTTAAATTGGCCGTGTGTGGATTCAGAGTCACATCCACTGTGGGAAAAAGGTACAACATGAACAGGTGAGAATGGTACGTGGGTCTTGTGACACTGAGAAAAGGAACACAAAGCGGTGGGGAGGAACTGGCACGGTAGGTTGAGGTGGGTGAGGGCACTAGTAACACCTCAGGCCTGAGAGATTGTGGGGTATTCAGGGAGGAAGGCCTGAAAGGGATCACAACATGTCGGCTCACAGAGGCCATTGTTTCCACTTACCCCAGTAGCTTTGGACATCCGTTAGCTCTGTAAAGATAAAGGATCAATAATATTGACTATAATCAATAGTTTCAGGTGTGATTATCTCTCCCCTTACCAGTTTGAGAATGGTGGGGAATTCTGTGAGGATGTAATTGTCCATTTAATCTCTCCTTTAATATAAACTGCATCTTCTTCAGCCCACCATGTCCCTACCCCTATGACCCACCCTTTTCTTGTACTTTTTTTTTTTTTTTGGAGAGGTTTTTGCTATAGGGCATGTGCACTTGCCAGAGAGACAGAAAGCAAGAAATCACCCCCCAGGGGGGATGGCCATGCTGCAATCCCTTCTCCTCCATTCTCCTCTCAGGATCTTGGGCATGCACGCACACACACCCAGCAGGAGTTTAAGCAACCGGGTCTAGGACTAGAACCACGGTTGACTACATGAAAGCCACTGGGTCCAGGACTCGAACCACAGTTGACTATATGGAAGTTCAGTGACATAGCCACAACACCAACTACTGGTCCCTATGACCACCCTTTCCACCACTATTCTCCAATACTGATGATATCCTCTATCCTATTTATTTCTTACCACTACAGTAATTCCATATCCAAAGTCTTTCCCATGAATCTTCTCACCTCTAAATACTCGCAGCATTTTTTTCAGATCTGGAGCTCGAAATACACTTTTCAGCTTGGTAGGGAGAGCTTCTGGCTTCCTGAGAGCCCAGAACTCACTCCTAGAGAGGACACACACTATGAGCTCCCACACGGCTAACTGGATTCTTTCAACAACTCCATCTCCCTCATCTCCTAGGTCCATCAGTTAACGTCAAAACTCTTTCTTGAAGAAACTTAGAGTCATTCATCAATGAGCCCCAGAAGTGAGCCAGAAAAGCTGAACTAAACAATGACCCTCTCACCAACTATATGAACTTTAGTAAAATCTGAAGTCTTTAAGTGTTTTTCTTTCTTTTTTTAAATTGGGTCATCAGAAAAGTCATGATGCATTTTTGCATAGAAAAACATGACTTTTCCACTGACCCAACAGTTGTAGAGGGTATGTGTGCTTGGCAGAGACAGAGATACAGAGAGAGAGAGAAAAATGACCTCCAGTGGGGGCATGGTCACGCTGCAATCTCTTCTCCATTTTTTCATACTATTAAGATTTTGAGTGTGCATGCACATTCAGTATATTTATTAAGCCACCAGGGCCAGGATTCAAAACACTCAGCCATTATTATCTTCTTGGGATTTGGGACATGCATTCACACATGCCTAGCATGTTTTTTTTTTTTTTGGAGAGGTTTTTGCTATAGGGTGCGTGCGCTCACCAGAGAGACAGAGAGATAGGAAGAGAGAAATCACCCCCCCAGGGGGGATGGCCATGCCACAATCCCTTCTCCTCCATTCTTTTCTCGAGATCTTGGGCACGCACACACACGCACCCGGTGTGAGTTTAAGCCACCGGGTCCAGGACTCAAATCTCAGTTGGCTACATGGGAGTTCAGCGACATAGGCATAACGCTAACTGCTGGTCCTGCCCAGCATGTTTTTTAAGCTTCTGGGTTCAAGACTCAAACTGTACAGTCAGCTATGTGGGATCTAGCTGCCTTAGCCACCATGTGGGCTGACTCTCCCTGTGTATTTAGAAGTAACCATAAACTTAGAGAATGAGGGTTGATAGCAGGATAGAGGTGTGTAGAAAAGTAGTCACATGATGTAATTTTATGGGGGATTCATTGACACTGCAACCTTTTATTCTTAATGATAGTCCTCTTCCTAGTCTGGCCTCTCATCACTGAAATTCTCCTATTACTGAAGCTAGTTCATTCCTTTTATTTGACGGCACCCAAATTCTCATATGATGAGCTAGTTAAGATACCACAGCCTTGAACCTCTCTCTGCCTTGTCTCTTCCTCTTTCATACTGACCATGGGATAACTGGTTGCAGCAACCTTTTGTCAATGCAAGGGAACCAGCTCATGTTCTTGTACACATACCTTTCTGTGACATCATTTGCATCCTAGGGAGAAAGAAGACAGGTTAAGTCAAAGAGTAATAGGTCATGTCTTCATCCATGTCTCTCATTCCATCACCATGACCCAATGATACGACAGAGAAGACAGTCCCAGTGTGGATGCCACAAAGTAGAGATAAAATCTCGGGACAGTCTTAAATTTCCCTGGGAGCCTATGTGGAGAAACTAGAAAATGACAAGTGATTCATTAGTGCCTTTTGTATGTGTGTGTGTGTGTGTGTGTGTGTGTGTAATATAATGTATGGATACTATGTTATTTGCCTGGCATTGAGCCTGGCTAGAGAATCTCAGATGAAGTCATAATCTCTGTCCTTGAGAACAGGAAATTCTATTCTAGTTGCTAAAGGGATAAGAGCTCTTAGAAAACTATAGAGAAAATGTGCATTATGAAAACTCTATTATAAAATCACTATCATGGATTTCAAACACTTCTTGAACTTACATAAAATATTTTAATTCCATTTTCCCACAAACTTTTCTCCTCGTACAAGCCTTAAGTAGAGTTGTTTTTCAATCTTCACCTCCTCTAACCCTCTAGCCTATCTTTGTTGACTTTATCCAGCCTCTTGATTTCAACACACACGTGTTGATGATTTCCAAATCTGTACTTCTGCTCGGACTGTTTTCCCTGATAACCCAGGTTAATATGCAGCAAAGGGGCCACAGCCATCTCAAACTCAAGATGTTTATAACTCATCCCTACAAAAATTCTTTCTCCGTATCTTCCATCCTCCTTATGATACTAGCATCTACCAGTCACCACATTTAGACAAAATACTTTCTTTGTCTTTTCTATTTTTTTTAAGAGAGATATTTTTTACTACAGGGCATGTGCACTCGCTGAGAGACAGAGACAGAGAGAAATAACCCTCCTAGGGGGCTGGTCATGCTGTAATCCCTTCTCAGGATTTTGGGCACATGCACATTAAGATATGCACTTGACGTGAATTTTAAACTGGCAAGTCTGGGACTCAAACCATGGTCGACTAAGTGAGAGAACAGTGACATGACCAATACACCATTTGTTGGTCCCAAGACAAAATACTTTCATAAAAACTACCATATCCATCTTGACATCCCATCTTCGATCAAGTCAGTACATCTGACACCCCTAACTTCTTTCAGCCACCTGCTACTCACCTTGGTCACTGCCACTGCCTGTCTTACTTCAGTACAATTGCTCAAATGCCTTCGCTTTGGTCTAACTTCTGCTCTATGCACATCAGTGACCCTGAAAAAAAGGTCTATAGTTTGATCTACGTAATATAAACCTAACCGTTTTCTCTGTTATTGGGCTAGTTTTGGTTACATTTCACAAAACAACTCAAACTGGCTTGAACACAGAAAGCAGTAGAAGTATTGGGTGTGTCAATTTATACCAAATGTCCAGATGTGTACCTGCCTGAAATTATGGCTGTGCTGAGGAACTGAGATGGTCAAATCGGTGTGCCACTAGTAGCTATTACCATAAGGTACCTTATGGTGGATTTATTCTCAGTGTTTACATCTTGAAGCTTTTATCATAGCTATCAAATTTTAATGGGCAACAATGTAACACAGATTTGGAAAGGAAAATGAAGAATATGTCTGTGATGGGAGAATTTAAGAAAACTGATCGTTAGGTAACACTCAAGTTAAAATGTTTACTAGGGAGCCAGCAGGTGGCATGGAGGTTAAGGCACTGCCTTCCATATTGCTGACCCAGCAGCTTCAAAATCACTCTGGGGGGACCAGCAGTTAGCGTAATGGCTGTGTCGCTGGACTCCCACGTAGTCGACTGCGGTTCGAGTCCTGGACCCGGTGGCTTAAACTCATGCCGGGCGCGTGTGTGTACGTGCCCAAAATCCCGAGAGAATGGAGGAGAAGGGATTGCGGCGTGGCCATCCCCCCGGGGTGTGATTTCTCACTTTCTGTCTCTCTGTCTCTCTCTGTCTGTCTGGCAAGCGCACACATCCTATAGCAAAAACCTCCCCCCCCCAAAAAAAAAAATCACTCTGGGCATGTGTGTGTGCATGCTCAAAATTTTGAGAGGGGACTGGAGAAAGAGTTGAGATGTGGCCATCCTCCCCAGAGGGTGATTTCTCACTTTCCTTCTCTTTCTCTCTATCTCTCTGCAAAGTGTATATGCCATAGAGCAAACATAATGAAGAAAAAGATGTTCATTGGGCCGTTAATATTAATGGGTGTGGGAATGCCTGGATTAACAATATAAACTGATGATTCTTTTGCACTTAAAAAATTTTACACTTTGAAGAGTCTGTGGAGCTGGAAAAAAAAATAGGTGTAGAACAAGTATTAGGATAACCTAACATCAAAGATGAGGACAAAAAATGAAATAGAAATAAGAAATGCGGCAAATATGGGGTCAGGAGGTGGCATAGCAGTTAAGGTGGTGGTCAACCATAGTTCAAGTCTTGGGTTTGGTAGCTTGAAAATGATGCAGGGAATCCCTTGATTTCATGTGTGTGCATACTGAAAATCTCAAGAGGAAAAGAGGGAAAAAGGGATTATGGCCATTCCTCCTGGGGAGTGATTTTTCACTTTCCATCTCTCTCTCTGTCTCTCTCCTTTCTAGCAAGTGCACATGCCCTATGACAAAAAGCTAAAAAAAAAAAACAACAAACACAAACACAAACAAAAATAATGTAAAGCAGAAAGCAATGGATGAGGTAAAGCTCTAACAGGTGGAAAGTAACTGCCCTCTTACTCCAATACTAAGATGTAAGAATAGATAAAGAAAAACCAACAGACAGAAGGTTGCAGAATATCACATGGTACAATATGCCTCGGCTTCATAGTCACACTATCCATTCTGTGTAGAAAACAGCTGTTCAAATTTAAACCTCAATTCAAGTTCCTCCATCAAAACTCTTTAGGCTTGATACCCTGCACCCTTCTGACTATACACACAAGACCAGACAGCCCCCAAAGACCTGCTTTAATGTCTATTACTACAACCTGTGAAATGACTGTCTTAGAGAAGACAGTGAAAGAGAAGAAGGGCTGGTTAATTCTATAAAGAACCTTTGACTTTGGCATGTGACTGAGCTGGGTAAAAAACACTTGACAAATTCCCAGCACACCACCAGAGACAAGAGGTGCCTAATGAACGGTGGTTAACTTTGGAGAGAAGTTATGTTCTCCTGCAATACCTGGAAGGGGCTTTGGGTTGCCACACCTGGGGGCAGTATTGCTGCCATCTAGTGGGTGGAGGCCAGGGATGTTAGTCAGTATCTTATAAAGTATAGGAGAGCCCTCAGAGCAGAGGCATCTAGTCCAACATGTCAACAGTGCAAAGATGGAGGAGCCCTCTGTACAATACCACTGGTTACAACAGATGTCCAGGATATCAAATAAACTTGTATGCCATCCTTTATAACAACAAATAAAAAAGGGATTTTCCCTCAGCATTTGTATTCTGAATTATCTTATGCTTAATTCCATGACCTCTGTGTAGTTTAATAGGGAAGAAGCACAGCAGGGCTAAACAATTTTTCCTTCTGGTCTCCTCTAGACTGTTAATTTCATGTGTCCCCAAAGAAGTGAAATTTGTTGCTCTTTTCCTTGGCTCTAAGCTGTGGAGCTCTTTCACGAGTCCTACCTGTAGCAGCTCCATGGTTGACCCCTGGCATCGACGCTCCAGGTCTGAGATGAGCTCTCTCAGTGACCGGCTCTGGTGTAACAGCTCATACTCAGCTTTTTCTATAATATTCATCCCTCTCCTCTCTTCTTCCTCCAGTTTCTTCAATTCCCGCTGCTCCTCTCTGTCCAAGATGTTCCGCAACCGATTGAACTCTGTCCGGATTCTGTGTCTCTCAGGCTCCATCTGATTCTTCAGGAACAGAAAAGAGAAAGAAGCTGCTAGTCTGTGGGATGAGGGCCTCTTCTAGAAGAGCAGAAGAGACAGGCTCAGTACAGCTTCCTAATTGGTCAGGCCTCACCAGGAGAGAAGGGCATATACCAGCACTTGTAGGCCTGCAGAACCTGTTCTTTTCTTCTTTTCTCCCTTCAGCTCTGCCCAGACCATTGGCTCAGGCTACTTCATCTAGGCCTTCTAGACAATGACTATGGTTGCTGAGTAAGGTTTTTATTCCAGGCAGCTTCCCTGGCCTCTCATGCCTCTGCATCAACCTTCTCTTCCAATTTTGAGTATCAAGATATAAACTAATGACGTGCAATGAACGTATGAGGCACAGAAAGTAACAGAGAATCAAATGGCGGAAAAAGACACAGAATTATGAATTAGAGGCTATCACTGTCCATGGCTCCTCTCCCATGTGAGCGTCACCAAAAACCTGGGTTGACATTTGATATGCTTGTTATCTAATGCCTCCTCCTCTCTGGTTCACAAAGGATGCGGTGGAGGACCAGGCAAGGAACACTCGCAAAGACGCAATACCAGGGTGCAGTCAGGACTGGACTCCATGACCTGCCCTGACTCCTGTAGCAGGAACCCTCAGGAGGAATCCCTCTTGCCTTCCAGGATGCCCTTTTCTCTTTGATAACAGCTTTCAGCTTCTCTGCTTCCTCTTCCTCTTTCTTCAGCTTCTTCAGAGACTCCTGGAACTTTTCCTGGAAGAGACACATCCAGTCAAATGTAGCCAAGCTTTAAACTGTCCCTATACCTAGACATGGAATGAATGAGGCAGAGGTTTTGCTAACTTCATCATCAAGACTGGCCTGTCCTGGGGTTAAACCTGAGAAGGGCAAAGTATCTTTTATACATGGGATGAAAGCCAATAGAAATAGATTGAATCTCTTTTCTCCTGGGAAAATGAGCCTGACCATAAAGCACTTTAAGTCCTTTACTCTCGCAACAGTGTATCTCCCACACACAACTCCTTTATAATTGCTACAATGTATCTCCCACACTCAACACACCAAGCCCCTCTTAGGGCCCAGAAACTCCTTTTGCTCAATATGTGGCAGCACATGAGAGATCAAGTCTATTCTACTCTATTATTAATCAGGGAGGCATTTTCTAGGTCCACTCTAGGTAAATAGAAGAAGTACAAAGAAATTAGATTCAGAGCATGATGAAAAGTTAAAATCTCCTACCCAGAGCCTTGCTTCCTGTTTTTTTTCTGCATCCTGGACTCTTACCTGGTACTCCTGGGCAACTTCTTCCATGAGGAATGTCTGGTGACCACGGTGTTCCTGAGACCGCTCACAACGCCAGCAAATCAGTTTCCCATCAGCCTTGCAGAAGAGCTGCAGTTTCTCTCCATGGTGTGCACAAAGAATTACCTTCAACTGTTCCCCTGGACCCAATACCACCTCTCGGAGCCTTTCTGCTATGTTGGCCAAGTGCCGGTTAGGCCGCAGGCTCCCAGGTTGGTAGCTGGTCTGGCACACGGGGCAGCTGCTCTCTCCTCCTTGACTGGACATTGCCTCCTCGCTGTTCTCTGTGATGCAGGCTTGGCAGAAGGTGTGGCCACAGTCAATGCTCAGGGGTTCTGTCAGGAGCTCCAAGCAGATGGGACAGGTTACCTCCTCACGTATGTCCACCAATACTGAAGTCATGGTAATGACTCTTCTGGTTCTCACCTACCCAGACCTGACTTCTAAGGTGCTTCCTGCACATACAGTCCTGGGGAGATGAGCAAACAAAAACAGGTCAGGGTATAAAAGGAGGGAGAATAAAGGGAAAGGAGATCAGATACCTCGGGGTAATAAGGGTTTCTCATTCTCATTTCCAACACTTTCTTTACCCCACTCACATGAGGCACCAATTTCTACTCTTTTCAGAGAATGACCACGATTTTCTTTTAATCCTACTGGATGGAAGGACATACTGAGGCCCTGGAAAGGAGGGCCTTGTATGAGCCACCATCTGCCCAATCTTTTCCCAACACATCCAATGATAAAAGTACCAGAACACAGCTGCATCAGGATTTGTGCATCTGCTGCTCCTTTGCCGGCGCGGCCCTTTACCTTGGTATCTGATATCTGCATGCCTCATCCCTTCACATCCCCTTCTCAGAAGGTCTGAGCCTCTCTAGCCTCTCCGTACAGTCAGTCCTGACATGCCTACCTGCCTTAGTTTCCTTCTTCTCACTACCTGATATCTACCTTTAGTGTCTGAAGCCTCCACTGGAAGGTAAGTTCCATGAGATCAGAGACTTTGTGCTCCCAGCAGCTGGCCCAGTGCTTGATACACAGGCCCTCAACTTTTGATGAATAAAAAGCAAAAACTTCTTTTTCCTTCTGCAGATGATCAACCAGACCTTTCTTATGAGCTTTTGTAATAAAGAAAATAAATAAATAAAATTCTAGTTTATATATAACTTTTATACTCTCTTGGGGCATGTACGCACATGTGCCCGGTGTGATTTTCAAATCGCAGAGTTGGTCATGTGGGATCCAGCTGCCTGAAACTCCATGCACCTGCTGACTACCGTTTGTACATATTAGTGGTGTATAGTATGGTTTTTCAGTACGCAATCTGTACTGACCAAATCAGGGCATAAGCATATCCACCATATCTAACAGTTATCATTTTGTGTTGTAGGCATTTGCAATTCTCTCTACTGGTTATTAGGAGATTCATATTAAATTGTCACTAACATTCTTTACTGTGCTATACTCATATATAATCCATTCCACTTGTTTACATAGACTCTTTCTTAAATCTTAATCAAGTTCTCTTCATTCTCCCTACCCTTTACTCCTTCCCAGTTTTTCGTATCCACTGTTACTCTCCACGTCTATGCAATCAAATCTTTCACTTGCCACTGACTGAGAATACAGTACTTGTCTCCTAATGTCTGCTTTATTCACTTAGCATTATTTCCTCCGGGTTTGCCTGCATTGCCTCAAACAAGTATGGCTGAATAATAGCCATTGTGTTTTGAGTGTATCTATAACACATTTTCTTTATCCATCCGTCAGTTACTGGACACTTAGGTTGATTCCATATCTTAGCCATTGTGAATAGTGCTGCAATAAGCATGGGAGTGCAGATTTTCCTTCACCATACTCTCATGACCTTTTACATTCCTTTGTCGTCACTCTCCATATCGGGTCACCGAGACCAAAGGTATCATTGATCATGAAGACATGTCTACCTTCTTTTTTTCCTTTTTAATTTGCTATGCGGTGTGTACACTCACCAGAGTCAGAAAAAGGGAAGGTGAAAAGGCACCCTCGACCCCTCAGAACCAGGAAGGATGGCGACACCACAATCCCTTGTCCTCCATTTTTCCTTTCAGGATTTTGGGCACTCATGCATGCACACACACCCAGTGTATTTTTCAAGCTACTGGGTCTGGGACTCAATCTGTGCAATTATTTACGTGGGATCCAGCTGCCCTAGCCTCTGTGCCACTGGCTGACTCAACACCTTCTAGCAACTATGCCCAACATGGAGCCTTTTCATCCCTCCTGCTCATTTTCCCAGGAGATTCCAAAGAAATAGCACTGGCCACAATAAGAGGAGAAGGTAATATTTTTACAGCGAACACTTCTGTAACCAATTGTAATTTAGAAATCACATTTTTCTGCTTTCTTTATCCTACAAAGGACAACTCTGCATAAATAAGAGTACTCTTAATTTTTCAATAAGAAAATAGAGACAACTGGGCCAGCAGGTGATGTGGTGGTTAAAGCACTTAACTCCCACAACGGCTTTCTTTTTCACTTTCCCTCTCTCTCTTTCTCTGTCTCTCTCTGGTAAATGCATGTGCTTTCTAACAAATTAAAAAATGATAAGGATAAATAAAATTAAATCAATAATTATTTTTAAAAGATAAAATAAAGACAAGTGACTTTAAGATCATGTTTTGGTGCTGGCTCCCTGGCCTGGTGATTAAGGCAGCTAGACCCCACATGGCCAACTGCATGGTTTGGATCTTGGATCTGGGGGCTTGAGAGATATGCCAGTTGCATGTTCATGGGTATGTGCCCAAACTCCAAAACGCAGGGAGAGCTGGAGGAGAAGAAATTGCAACATGACCGTTCCCCATGAAGACTGCTTTCTCCTTTCTCTCTCTGTCTCTGACTATCATTTTAGCAAAAAGGCAAAAACAAAATATCATGTATTTGTACGTAGTAGAGTTGGTATACTCGAACCCTTCCAGGACTCTAGTTCAAAGCTCTATCCTTAACCTCATAAAACCAAAGACAATTGGTGGTAAAGGCAGTAAAAGGCCCAGCGCTTTCCAAGTATTAGAAATGGGAGAGACTGCATTTTATGATGGGGTTTCACTTGAGTTTATCATAAGCTTTGACAGGATCCTAAGAGGGCCCAAGGCTAAGGTGGGGAGGAAGTAGGCACCTTCCTATCTACTTCTATGATGGAATTGGCAAGTGTTTATTTATTTAGCATATAACAACTCAATAATTCCTTAAACAACATTATGAGAGTCCCTTACACCCCATTTCAGTTATGGTGGAGTCAGATTTTGAATGCAAATAATCTTGTCCATAAAGGGTGCAGAAAATGACTGTTAACAAATTAATGGTTCCTGGACATATAATCGATGTTACAGAAGTGCTTAATCATTTGAGATGTTATTTAAGCAAATTAATTACACCTATGGGAACTGAGAATATATTGTAGTTAGTTTTACATCTCCTCACTTAGTACACTGCATGATGAGAGTCTAACTACTTTTATTAAATTGGGATTTTGAAATTAGGGGCTCAATCTCTCTTGATATTCTACATATCCCAGAGTTGAGTGTTGCAACTAACACAAGCACAGAGCAATTAACTTTATAATGGATTTAAAATAATAACTTACTGTTGAGTTTATAGTTAAGAATTGATATTGGCATAGAAACATGGAAATAAATGTATTATCTCATGAAATTGTTGATGTTAAGAAATAATTATAGGGAGCCAGCAGGTGGCATGACAGTTGGGGCACGGGACTACCACATGGCTGACTGTTATTTATATCTGAAGCATCTATTAAAATGAAAGCTCGCATCTACACTTAAATGTCTTTATCAATAAAAATCAGGAGCAGGAGATACTGGGGCTGGTCCAGGCTCTGGGCTTGAATTAGAGGAATGAAAAACAATAGGGCTGCCCCTCCCCCCCCATAAGTGGACAACTGAGTGCAAGAGAAGTGTAAGGAAAAAACAGTGAAAACTGCATTTACAAGTGAGTTGAGCTTCTTGGGTTTTGGGATAACGTTATTTTTGACCTTCGCATAGGGTTATATCCAACTCCGCAATCCCTTTTTCTCTATTCTCCTTTGGGGATTTTGGGCATGCATCCACACATGTACCCTGTTTATCAAGCCACAGATCCAGAACTTGAACAGAGCAGGTGGCTGGGTGGGATCCAGCTCTTTCAATGACCTCACTGCCAGCTAGTCCGTGAGCGTTTTTTTAAGGCTAGAGTATAAAACATAATATTCTCATACATTTTTCTGCATTTTTTAATATCTCATTCATAATTGCTTTTTAAATTTGCCAGAGTGTTCATGATGCTGGAGGAGGAGGCAGTGGAAGTGAGAAAGCACCGCCATGGGGAATGGTTAGGCCACAATCCCTTCTCTTCCATCTCTTCCTCCTGTTGGAATTTTGGGCACCCATACACACATACTGAGACTATTTCTCAAGCCACAGGGTTGGCCACTCAGTGGTTTTTACTACCAGGGCTTGGGCTGGCCCAATTCCTGTTTATTAAAACTGTTCTCTTGGGACCAGCAGTTAGCGTAATGGCTATGACGCTGGACTCCCACGTAGTCGACCGCAGTTCACATCCCGGACCCAGTGGCTTAAAACTCACGCTGGGCACGTATGCGTCTGTGCCCAAGATCCCGAGAGGAGAATGGAGAAGGGATTGCGGTGTGACTATCCCCCCTGGGGGGTGGTTTCTTGCTTTCTGTCTCTCTGTCTGTCTGGCGAGCACCCGCGCCCTATAGTGAAAAAAAAAAAAAACCTCTCAAAAAAAATTGTTCTCTTTCGACTTGTTTAGATGTAACAAGTAATCATATTTTCCTTTATCATAACACATTTAACATATTTTATTGCTTAGTATAGTCTTTCAAAAACAGCTTCAATTGTGCATTTTTTTAAAGAAATGCATTAAGTTCAATGCTAATAATTTGACCATTTACTATTTGTTAAGCAGTAAGCATAGAGAACGTCTAAACCTTTGCTTCACGTAATCCTCATCCGATCTCTAGGATGTACATGTTACTCTGTCCACTTTACAGATGGAAAAACTAAAGCCCAGAGAAGTCAAGGAACAGGCCCAGAGCCTACAGCCAGTGTCTAAGAATCAGAGCCAAGATTCAGACCCATGTAGTCTATCTGCAGTACCTGTGCTCTTAACCACACATTTCTGCCTCAATCATTACACAAGATGTTGTCCCTAACCTCAGTGAGCTTATTTGCAGGGTGGATGAAAAAGAAATAAAAAAGGGCCACAAGTGGAAGGTGAAAAACTCTGGGTGCAGGTGCTTGGGTGCCCCAAATCCTGAAAGAAAGGAGAAAGGATTGCAGTGAGGCCATCTCCCTTTGGAGGTGCTTTCTCACTTTCCTTCTGACTCTGGCCAGTGCACTGGCCTTACAGGATGCATGTATAAATAAATAGCGATCAACATCATTAAGTTCCAAAGGGGAAAGACCTCATTGCTAGGTGCTAGAACCTTAGTAAGTGGCCCCCATAGCCCAGTAAAAGCCAGGAAAGCTCCAGGTGTGAGCGCATCAGGTGGTCAAGGTCTTCAGAGAGAACCAAGGAGTTACAGTAATTCTGAAGACCAAAGGGTAGTCACTCTTTTTTTTTTTCTAATGAACTCAACCACATCTGAGTCTGCTCCCTTCCTAAAAGGCCGGGGATCCATCCCGAGCCAGCCTCCGGCCTCAGCACTGAAGGCGGGGTGGGCGGGGCCGGCAGTGTACAGAAGGCTCATCGGCTTCCCTGGGAGGGGCCGGCCTACTGGGGTGGAAGATAAAACGTGCTCACTTCCTGGAGCAGCAGCAGGACAGGGGTGGGGGAGGGGAGGCTGACCTCTGAATCCCACCGGGCCCGTGGTTCGCGGCGATTCTCTAACGCCAAACTTTCAGAGCTGCCTCCCATAAGGCATTTAGCGTTCAGAATTGGAGTTCCACTCCCTCTACACTTTCACAGCCTAATGCTGGCTGCAAAGGTGCCTCTCCTGTGCTCCTCTCCCTGCTCCTCTCCCAAATTTGAACCGACCCCAAACCGCTGAGGTCCCTCTTACTCTTCCTCTACTCGTCAACACCCAACCTATCTGCAGAGCGGGTCGAATTCCATGCACTATTGGGTCAGCGGTGGCTGGCCAGAAAATGGACTTGCTCACTAACCTGGAATATGTGGCCTAACCACTGCTGAGAGTTCTCAGCGGCTTCCTCCTCCTCCACCTCCGCCAACGAGGTCGGCCGAAAGACTGCGGGGGAGAGGGGCGGGGCCTGGAAGGAGGCGCAGCGGTGGGCCGGCCGGCCAGGTTGTCCGCATCGCCCGAGATCCTGCAGGCTCCAGGGGTGTGGTCACCAGCGCCCATCAACGAGGGAGGCCACAATCTGTTTTGAAGGCAGAAAGGCAAAGCTGTTGCTCTTGCCTGATTTTTTGAAGCCTTCAAGAACACCTGAAGGCCAACAATGACTTGGACATTCTCTTTAGTTTACTCAATTTTCCAATATTGTATCAGTTGAGCAACAGACAAAGATAAGACACTGGCACCCCATATGAATATATTAACATGTCTCAAAATCTCTAAAGTTCTGTGAGTAAAAGAGGACCACTTTATAATGGCATGTTTGTCAAATAGCCTTAAAATTTATCCAGTTAAAATTACGTATGTGTGTAATTTTAAAGATATAGGATAACATATATGTGTTATATATATATGATATATATATATGATATATATATTTCTGTGTGTATCTGCAATTTTAAACTATATAATTGAGATACCAGGAATCTTTCTTTTAAGATCTTTATGAATATATGCAAAGCTTATAAAACTTAGAACTGTGACCATAAGCAACTGTGACAGAGCAACTTTGAGAGGGAAAAGAATGCCAAACGTCTCACCAGAGGGGACTGACCAGGTGAGTGTCACTCATCTTAGAAGGCAAATCAGGGGAGAGGTCATAGAAAAAGAAACCAGAGTATCCACATGGAAGTCAGTCAGAGTTGTGCGATGGAGAGAACTGAGTTAAGCAGCAAGACGTTGCCCTGAATAGTCCTCAGGAAAATGGAAGGTCATTCGAATGTCAAAATAAATTGTACAAGGACCAGCACCTGGTGTAATGGTTACGTTGTTGAATTCTCACATGGGCAACTCTGGTTCTAGTCCCTTACCCAGAAGCTTGAAACTCACACTGGGCATCTGTGTATGCATATCCAAAACACTTACCGGAGAATGGATGAAAAGGGATTGTTGTGTGGCCATACCCTTTGGGGGGATAATTTCTCCCTTTCTGTCTCTGTCTCTCTGATGAGCGTACATGCCCTATAGCAAAACTCTCTGTAGCAACAACATATGTGTATATGTGTGTGTGTGTGTGTGTGTGCAGACATGTGTCATTATTCCAATGCGTAGTTTATGTCCCCAAGTGTTTTCTTTTTTAAGAGAGATTTTTTTGCTATAGGGCATGTGTACTCGCCAGAGAGACAGAAAGTAAGAAATCATCCCTTGGGGGGATGGCCATATCAGTTCTTTCTCCTCCATTCTTTTCTCAGGATTTTGCCTACATATGCACATGTGCACAGTGTGAGTTTCGAACCTCTGGCTCAGGACTCAAACCGTGGTCGGCCATGTGGGAGTTCAGTGATGTAACCATTATACAATCTGCTGGTCCCAGTCCTCAAGTATTAAGAAGCCCTACACAGTATACTTTAGATCTCCCATCACTGGGCTTTTAGATATATCCCTGGGTGATGCTGCAAATTGAAACTTGTGTATGTCCTGAAATTCTCCCAAGCCTACTCAAACTACCCAGTGAAAACACCAACTTACCATTGGTCCAGCACATTTTAAGTCCCTTGCAATGTAAGATGGTGTGATGATACCCAGAGGCTTAGGTGAGGTTTCAACTGTCTAGTTATTTTTTTATTTTTTATTTATTGAGAAGTTTTTGCTATAGGGCATGTGTGCTCGCCAGACAGACAGAGAGAGACAGAGAGATAAAAAGCGAGAAATCACCCCCCAGGGGGGATGGTCACGCTGCAATCCCTTCTCCTCCATTCTCCTCTTGGGATCTTGGGCACGCACGCACACGTGCCTGGCATGAGTTAAGATGATTAAATACTTTAAAAAATAGGACAGTTTAACGAAATTCATATGAATGAATTAAGAGGTTAAAGGAGATACCTAGGATGACTCTTAGTCTAAAACTAAATCTAAAAATTAAAAAAAAAGACAGAATTTGTTTTTTCTTATTGGAGGACTTCCATGATAACAAGGAGATGCACAAATTAACAAGTAACTGAAACATATTATATTATGATAGCTTTGAGATAGAAGAGAACACACATTAAGAGCATAAATGGGGACACTTATTCCAACTTATTGGTTTAATGATATTTCTTAGAGGAATATATCCTTATAGAACCAGGAATTTTGTGGGGTTTTGTTCATTTTCTCTTGTTAATAACAGGAATACTTGGGGCTAGCAGATGGTGTGGTGGCTAAGGTACTGGATTCCCACATGGTCAACCATGGTTTGAATCCCAGACCTGGCAGCTTGTTTTCTCACTTTTCCTTTCTCTCTCTCTGTGCTAAAGTTAAAATAATAATAATAATAATACCAAATAAAATTAAGTTAAATAAATAAATAAATCTTTAAAAAAATACCAGGAATACCTGAATCTGGGTAATATACAGAAAATACAGATAAAGCCCATGATTTTGGAGGTTGAGGTCAAAGAGCCACATCTGGCTCTAGAAAAGGATTTTTTGTTGATGAGGTCTTCTTTATTTATGTATTTTTTAAAGAATTATTTAATTTAATTTAATTTATCATTATTATTTTTTAAAATTTTGACGAGAGAGAGAGAAAGAGAGAAAGTGAGAAAGCAAACTAGCAGGTCCAGGACTTGAACCATAGTCAGTCATATAGGAATCCAACATCTCAACCACCACAGCACCTGCTGGTCCTGGTGAGGTCTTCTTGTTAGTAGGAACACTCTACAGAGTCCTAAGGAATAAAAGACCATCACATAGCAAGAGAGCTGGAGCATGTGTATCTTGGTCTATGCTGATCTGGCTCATTCTTCTTGCAAAACTCTCATGATTTAATTATGGGGGCTCTTCTCTGATGACCTTATCTCATTCACCACCTCCCAAACACTCTACCTCTTATTACTATAGTCAGATTAGGTCCTGCCCTCTTTACAGCATCATAATGGAAACTATATCTTAACATACACAGTTTGGGAGTGTACATTCAAACTATAGAAATAGGTTGGAGTTGGGACCAGCAGATATCATAATGGTTACATCACTAGACTTCATGTAGTCAACCGGGTTTGAGTCTCAGACCCAGTAGCTTAAAACTCAGCTTAAAATTCATGCTGGGAACGTGTGCATGCATCCCCAAAATCCTGAGAGGAGAATGAAGGAGAAGAGATTGTGGCATGGCCAACTCTCGGAGGCGATTTCTTGCTCTCTCTGGCAAGCACGCATACCTTATAGTAAAAATCTCTCTCTCTCTAAAAAAAAAAAAAAAAAAAGAGAGAGAAAAGAAAGAAATAAGTAAAAGTTAATCAAAGGACATTGGTGTGGAGAATACAATGAGCAATTGCTTAATGGTAAGAATGACGTTAATGCATAAGAAGCCAAAGTGATGGTAACAAGTTAGTACTTACTCTGAGGTGTTGGTATTTATCATGGTTCTTCAGAAAAATAGAACTGATAGGATGCGTATATGTATATAGAGTGATTTATTTTAAAGATGTGACTTGTGATTATAGAGGTTAGCAGGTCTAAAATGTGGAGTAGGCTGGAGACTGAGAAAGAGCCTGTGTGCAATTTAAGGCTACAGGCTGTTTGCTAACAGGATTCCTCCTCAGCTGTAGGAGGTCAGTTTCTTGTTCTATTCAGACTTTCAACTGATTGGACAAGGCCTACCCACGCTATGGAGGACAATCTGCCTTCCTTGAAGTTAGCCTATTTAAATTTAATCTCATCCAAAAATACTATGATAGAAATAGTGTATAACCACATAAAGGAACTAGATTTTCTTTAATGTAAGTTTTTCATTAATGTAATCATTCCAACATTGAACTGCTATTTCAATTCCCAGAGCCAAATGCGAGCTAGAAAAGAATTGGGCTTACCATCATTAGCCACTAGAGAAATGCCAATCAAAACCCCAATGTGGTACCACTTTCACACACTCTGATGGCCAGAATCAAATAAGTTTTGGTGAGGATGTGGAGAAATTGGATCCCTTATTTGGTGCTGCTGGAAATATAAGATAAGTTGCTTTGGAAAACAGCCTATTCGTTCTTAAAAGTGTATATAGTTATAATATGTCTCCTAGGTATTGTTAAAAAAATTTTTTTTTAGACAAATTTAATTTAGCAGTTTCATCGAGTCAGGAATGATTTGTGAATAGAGAAGCCCCAGAACTTGTTTGGAGGAACGTGGGGTTGCTCCATGGTTGAGTGACATTTATAGGCAGGAAAAAGAAAGTGACAGAGAGAAATATGGAAGTGAGAGAAGTGAGGCGAGAAACAGCCGGGTCGATGACAGCTTAGTGTCTGCCTATTTGGACACAGTTTAAACAGTGAGCTGGCTGTGATACACTGAAGTACAGCAGCCATGATGGCTGTGACTCAGCTATTTCTTATGGAAATAGACTCAGAAGCTTGGTTGTGCTTTGTTTACAAGAACTCAATATACCAGCAGAGAGGCCTTCTAGGTCCAAGAGAAATGAAAACATAATTTCACATAACAGCTTCTACCAGAATGTTCGTAGCAGCATCATTCATAACAGCCAAAAAGTATAAAGAATCTGAATGTACTACCATCTAACAAACGAATACATAAAAGTTGCATATCCATACAATGACATATTATTCAGCTAAGAAAGAAATGAAGTTCTGATATATATCATAATGTAAATGAACCTTGCAAACAATTATGATAAGTGAAATAAGTCAGACATAAAAAGACACATAATTTCATTTACATGAAATGTCCTGAATAAGCAAAACAATAGAGATGAAAAGTAAATTACTGGTTACCCAGACTAGTAGCTAGGAAAAAAGGGAGAGTGATTGCTAAAGGATATGATTTTCAGGGGGGGGGAGGTAATGGTAATGTTCTAAAATTGATTGTGGTGATGGCACAGCCCTGTGAATATAATTTTAAAAATATGGACTTTTATATGCAGAAGAGGTGAATTGTGTAATATGTGAATTATACAGACCGTTTCCCACTTGCAATGGCTCAGCTTATGATGATTTAAAGATTTTATCATGCTAAAAAAAGCAATAAATATTTAGGTGAAACCATACTTCCAGTATCCATACAACCTTTCTGTTTTCCACTTTTAATATAGTATTCAATAAATCACATGTGATATCTAACACTGTTATAAAATAGGCATTGTGTGTCTCAGCAGGTGGTATGGTAGTTAGGGCACTGGATTCCCATATAACCACTTGTTGTTTGAGTTCCAGACAGGTGGCTTGAAAATCATACCAAGTGCATGTGCGTGTGTGCCCAAAATTTCAAGAGGAGAATGGAGGCAAAAGGACAGCGATATGGCCATCACCCCGAGGGTGATTTCTCACTGTCCCTCTTTCTGTCTCTTTCCATCAGGTCCAATGTTCCCTATAATAAAATCCTAGGAAAAAAACAAAGGCTTTCTGTTAGATGGTTTTACCTAGCTGTATGCTAATGCAAGTGTTCTGAGCATATTTGAGGTGGGCTACGCTATACTATACTATTCAGTAGTTTAGATGTATTGAATGCATTGTCAATGTGTGGTAGTTTTAATTTATAGTAGGTTTACTGTAATCAACCACATTGTAAGAAAAGCATCTGCATCTCAATAAAGCTCTAACTGAAAGAAAGAAGAGAGAAAGAGAAATAAAGAACAAAAGAAAGGAAAAAAATGAAAGAAAAGAAAGGAATGAAGAACAAACTGGGCTTACCTCCTGAAGCAACAAAGGAAGGGGTCATGTAATCTGCTGATCTCAGTCTACTCTTGCCTGATGGCTCAGTGTTTATCCAAGGCTTCTGTCTCTCTTACCTCACTTCACTTCCTGTACTAGAGTACACTAGACACAAGCCTGTAGACAAGGCCCAAGAACAGCTTTTCTGGGTTGTCTCCCCAAGCTTGGGTTACATTTTTAAAAAAGAATTATTTATTTAATTTTACTTATTATTATTGTTATTTTAAAAATTTGTGACAAAGCACATGCACTCACCAGAGAGAGACAGAGAGAGAGAGGAAAAGTGAGAAAGCAAGTCGCTAGGTCCAGGACTTGAACCATGTGGGAGTCCAGCACCTTAACCACCACACCACCTACTGGCCTTTGGATTACATTTTTTATTATATTTATTTCTTGTTTAAGGTTTTTGTCATAGGGCATGTGCACTCACAGGGGAGAGACAGAGAGGGAAAGTGAGAAATCAGCCTCTAGAGAAGAGAACCATGCTGCAATCCCTTCTCCTCTACTCTTATCCTGGGATTTGGGGCACACTTGCACATGTGTCTGGCATAATTTTCAAGTCCCTGGGTGCAGAGCTCCAACTGAGATGGGTCACATAGTAGTCTAGTGCGTTAACCACTACACCCTCCTTCAGTTTACATTTTAATCTGGCAAAATTTCCTACATTACTGCACCCAACACCAACCAACTGTTGAAGTCTGCTTGTCGTAAAAGCCTCCCAGTAGGAGGTGAAGGCTGCCAGGCTGTCAGGCTTCACGGATCTCAGCCTACACATGCAGATCTGGGCAGCAGTGAAATCTCTGGGGGAGTTGGAAGGAAGAAAAAGAAAGCATGGGATGCTTAAGTGGGTTAAGGGATAGGAGATACCAGAAAAGCCTGCTGAAAGAGCCAAATTCAAAATCCATAGTGTCAGTCCCAGGCTGTGATTTGTTCAGGAATACAGTAACACCAGTTCTAGAGTGGTGGTGTCACTAGAGGAGGTTTGGGACTCCTCAGGACAAGGGTGCTTGACTTTGCCCAGGAAATAATTAAAGAGTAAGTTGGAAATGGGAAAGCAGAAGAGTTTGTTACAAGATGGTTCTATACTCCATAGTCAGTGTATAGGCTAATTCAGAGTACAGTCACAGCCCCCTCTAGCTGGGTCAGGCGTGTATTCTGGGACACCAGGAAGAAGATAGTGAGGTCAAGGCATATAGAAGAGGATATTTTTCCACACAGGCATGGTAGTTGTTCATGTGTCTTCACACATCATTGTTAAAAAACAAATTTAAACAAACCAAGCGGGAAAATGACATGAACAGGGAAAGTGTTGTTCAAAAAAACATTAGTGAGGTAGAGAGATCATTGGTTACAGGTGGATGGTAGGCCACATGAACAGACTAAAAGGTGGGCTTTCTGTGATTGACTGAAGTATGACTAGTGTGATTGACTGTAACTTAGTAACCAGCTCAGAAAGATAGACTAACATGTACAATTTCCATTTATCCATAAGAATCTAAGTGTGGGAGTACAGCAGCTGTTTTAGGCCAGCATAGTTTAGTTTAACAGCATCCTAACTTTTCAGCCAGGGGTGTGATTTTTAGCATAGAAACAAGGTATAGCTCGTCTCCAGGTTAACTTTGGTCTGCTGTCTTGGCTACAACTGGTTTTGACTGGTCCTTAAACTGCAACTGCTCCTGGCTGAGTCACATAGCTTGTGGTCAGAGGACATGTTGTTGAAAATGTGGTGAGATTCATAGCCCTGTTTTCTCTGGTGAAGTTATCCTTATCTTTCCATTATGCTGACCTTGCCACCCTACTTCTCTTTGCTAATTCTTTTCTTTAGTTCCCTTATCTCAGTGGGAAATGAAAGAAACCTATAGTCCCAAGCACAGAAGAAAGATATCAGGATCTTCAATGGTAAGTACCAAAAGAATTGGCTAGCAGATGTTGCTATGGAGGCCTTAGCCTCTGTTGGCTTCCACTCTCCCCAACAATTTAAAATAAAGAAAAATATGCCCACATCTCACATATTAAGAACCAACAATTTAAAATAAAGAAAAATATGCCCCACATTTGACATATTAAGCATAATTAATTTGGGACTAGCAGATGGAGTAATGGTTACTTTGTTAGACTCCCATGTAGCTAACTAGAGTTTGAGTCCCGTCCCCGGTGTCTTAAAAATCATGCCAGGCGTGTGTGTGTGTGTGCACATGCCCAAAATTCTGAGAGGAGAATGAAGGAGAAGGCATTGCTGAGTGTCCAGCCCCCCTGAGGAGTGATTTCTCACTTTCTGTTTCTCTGTCTCTCTAGTGAGCGCATGTGCTGTATAGCAAAAATCTCTAAAAATAAATAAATAAATTAGTATAGTTGAATGGAAGCATAACATGTGCTCGACGAACACGAAGTTAAGCATTCATTAATTTTGTTTTCACAGTTTCCCCTATTATTTATAATAAAAAAATTCACTACTTCGAGGCTTTGAATGTTTTTGTAAGCAATTAGAAAGCAGTAGAGTCTTACTAGTGTGTGCTTCATCAAGGCAGAGAAGAGCCTGGAAAGAACTTGATTATGCTGTGGCAACTGCCGTTCATTAGAATATGCAGGGCCCCAGGTACCAAAGGCAAACTTGACAAGTTGGGCTGCCCTCACGATGAGATACTTGCTTAACTTCTAATTTTAATAATGAATATGATTTTTTAAAAGAGATATTTCTGCTATAGGGTGCGTGTGCTTGCCAGAGAGACAGAAAGCGAGAAATCACCCCCCAGGGGGGATGGTCACGCCGCAATCCCTTCTCCTCCATTCTCCTCTCGGGATCTTGGGCACGCACGCACACGTGCCCGGCGTGAGTTTTAAGCCACCGGGTCCGGGACGTGAACCGCGGTCGACTACGTGGGAGTCCAGGGATGTAAGTGTTACACCATTTGTTGGTCTAATAATGGACAGAGAGACATAAAGTGAGAAATCACCCCCTGGGGGGATGGCCACGTTGAAATCCCATCTCCTCCATTCTCCTCTGGGGATCTTGGGCACGCACGCACATGTGCCCAAAGTGAGTTTCAAGTCACTGGGTCCAGGACTCCAACCATGGTCAACTACGTGGGAGTCCAGGGATGTAAGTGTTACACCATTTGTTGGTCCAATAATGGATATAATATTTAAATATAAAACATATTTGAGAGGAAAAGGATAATTCCTGTACAGTTATCTACATTTTGAAGAAAATTGTGTCCAAAACAGGTTATAGTAGTCTAGGTTTATTTGATAAAAGTTTCTGCGTGTATACATTTGTATTTAAGTAGGTGAATAGATGTGTCCACACATACATACAACTATGTGTTAGTATCTCTCTACTTGGGTATACATATATATGTTCTTGGGTTTGTGAGGCAGTAAGACATATAGTTATCATCTCATAGGACTAGAATTTTTTAGACATGATATTTGTCAGGGGCTCCCATTGTAAGAAAGATGTTGAACTGGAAAATAAATGTCAAAATTATAAAAATACATTAGGGAACGAATGTAAGTAGATGCTGGGAAAAGTCCTATTTGAATAATAAGTTATGGTAAGTTTCCAGATTTCTTTTGAACAGTTAGTATTTCTTGAGCTGGAGGGTCAGAACGCATTTGAATAATTGAAGAGACTAGGATGGATATTACTATAGATTTCTTTTATGTATTTATTTTTTTTTGTAGAGACATTTTTGGTATAGGTCGTATATGGTTGCTGGAGAGACAGAGACAGAAAGTGAGAAATCACCCCTCGGGGGGATGGCACATTTCTTCTCCTCCATTCTTCTCAGGGCTTTGGGCATGCACACACATGTGCCCGACATGAGTTTTAAGCTGCCAATATAAGACTCGGACTGTAGTAAACTACGTGGGAGTCCAGCGTAATAATTACACCATCTGCTAGTCCTGGATATTACTATAGATTTCTAAGAAAAAAGTCAGAGATAGGTTTGATAGGTGACATATTTAAATGGAATGGGGAATGGATGAAAATAAAATGGGAATAATTAGAAGACGTAAAGATGAGGATAGGATGAATACTGGACAATTGATAAGTACAGAAACGTGTCTAGTGAGGCATTTATTTAGAACTTTTGGCCAGGTTTGAAAACAAATGCCTAGCCCCTTCCATAATTTGCTTGGTTCTTACTCCATAAATAATGGGATTGAGCATAGGTGGGATGACCACATAGAGGTTGGCCAGGAGGATGTGGACATAGCGTGGGATATATTTCCTACCAAACCTGTAAGCAAAGACAGAAAAGAGGGCAGGGATATAGAAGAGTAGGATGACACAGAGGTGAGATCCACAAGTGCTCAGGGCCTTGGACCGGGCATCTCCAGAGGAGAGGTGGAAGACAGCTCGGAGGATGTGGATGTAGGAGACAGCAATAAGGATGATGTCCAGGCCTGTGGAGAGAAGAGCAGCTGCCAATCCATACCAGACGTTAATGGAGATGTCAGAACATGACAGACGGGCGATGCCCATGTGCTCACAAAATGTGTGTGCAATGATGTTGATCCGACAGTAATGCAGGCGCTTGAGGAGAAAGATGGATGGAAACATGATGATGAAGCTGCGCGCCAGGGTGGCCATGGCGATCTTCCCAATAACCTTGCTTGTGAGGATTGTGGCATATCGTAGGGGAGAACATATGGCCACATAGCGGTCAAAGGCCATGGCCAGTAAGACAGCAGAGTCTGCCACATAGAGGAAGTGGATGAAGAACATCTGAGTGAGGCAGCCATCAAAGGAAATGTAGCTGGAGCCTAACCAGAAGTTGGCCAGCACCTTGGGCATGGTGGAGGTGGAGAGTAAGATGTCAGCACTGGCCAGCATGCACAAGAATATGTACATGGGCTCCTGCAGACTTGGCTGGGAGAGGATGACAGAAATCAAAATGCCATTACCCACCAGGGCAGCTATGTACATAGTGCAGAAGGGGATGGAGAACCAGATGTGTAGATGCTCCAGCCCAGGGATGCCAGTGAGCAGGCAGCCTGCTGTGCGTGTGTCAGAGCTGTTCACAGCAGCTAGGCTGTCAGCAGATAAAAGAGCCATGATTTTCTGTAGAGCCCTCACCTGTGCCATAGGAGAAAAATAGCTTCAGACTTTGTGCACGTTAAAGCTTGCAAATAGTCACAAGGCCTACACCTATTCAGAGCCCTTGTAACAGTTAAGGGCTCCACATTCAGGCATGTTCTCTGCAGACAATCATGCACGGGCTCTGCATAATGCCACAGTTACATAAAGTTAATAAGCTTATTTATCTTTATTACTGTATTTGAGAGCATTCGAATCTTTTTAACCCAACAAACAAAACATTAACAACAGTTATAGACTCTGCCCATAGATAGGCTCTTCAACCTTATTTAGAAGCTCTCAACAGAGCTGCAAAACTTTTAGAAAACTACGGGACATGAAACCAGTGTTAGACTCCACACAGTGCCACAGATTCTGAAAACCAAAAAACCAAAAAACAAAAACCACCACCACCACCAACAACAAAATGGTGATCTCTAGAGCATCAAACAGTCTTTACAAATCTCTACGTGTGTGTGAAAGGTAATGAGCTCTTCACAGAAGACTGCTTTCCCACACCTGCTGCTGCTCAGCTGACTGTGGAAGAGTAAAGTTGAGAGCCACGAGCATTTCAGAGACCCCGTATCTCTTTTCACCCAGGCACACATACTCTGATAAAGATGGAGAAACTGAAGGTGGCTGCAACATTTAGAACAGGCAGTGAAAGAGGTTGTGAAAAACCTGGGTCAGAGATCTACTCTGCCTCTGTCTCCTCTGAATAACAATTTTCACATTTTTAAAATGAGCATAGTTATTGGTCTGCTGGAATAGTAAATGAAATTTTGTCTGTGGAAGCCTTATTAAATTGTATGGTATGGACTAGGGAGAAATGTTCACCTGTTGAAATATCCATTTTGTAAGACAAATAATAATGTGATTGAATGTATGGAAGAAAATGAAATGAAAAAAAAATTAATTAAAAAAAATGTGTATGGTATGAGACCAGCAGATGGCATAATGGTTATGGTGGTGGACTCCCAGACCTAGCTGCTTAAAACTCACATTGGGTGCATGTACCTGTGTACCCAAGATCCCATGAGGAGAATGAAGGAGAAGGGATGGTGGCATGGCCATCCCTCCATGGGGTAATTTCTCATTTTCTGTCTCTCTGTCTCTCTGTTCAGTTCAGTACCCTATAGCAAATCTCTCTCTCTCTCAAAAAAAAAAAAAAATTGAATGGTGGTTCCTCAGTAGTCCCCTCTGTGGCTGTGCAATGTGGTTCTTTGCCCAGAGAGGGAAGGAAGATGCAGAACAAGCTTCTGAAGTGTGGTATTCAGACTAGCTCATCGGCATCCAAGGAACTTGTAAATTGTTGGGCCTTCCCACACACTTAGTGAATTAGAAGATCTGGGTAGGGGCAAGCCCTCCAGGGATTCTGATTCATGTTAAAGTTTGTAAAACGTGGATGTAAAAACTTTTTAAACTTTTTTCCCTACCTACTCTATTAATAAATGTCTATCACTTCTGCCCAAACCATTAAGTTTTCAGGTTCCATGTATTTCTGCTGAATTCAGCATGATGTGTTTATACTTTAACTAAATCTAATGAGTGTTGTCCCCAGCTCTTATAGTCAGGATGTAAAGAAAAGGACACAACCATACAGGTAGTCGTCACTATGTATTAGGCCACTGACAACGTCTGTCTTATTCAATTATTCTCACAACAAATATACAACTTTTATTAATGCCAAATGCAGCTTCTCTTTCTCTCAGCTAAATTTTCTCCTGCTATAGGAGCCAGCTTCTTATATTACTGTACTTAGATCTTATTTCTGCATCCACCCTCCTCTGCATTTCCTCCAGTCTCAGAAAATGTGGTATTAATGTCCCTCTGCTTTTTAATGTTTCCTTTGTCATAGAGCTAATATATTTACTTTATCTGGGCATATTAAAGCTCTTTTATGTTATTTAGAAAACAAACATATACACACATATAAGTACATGCATGTATACTTATATATGCATAAGTATATGTGTATATGTTTGTTTATCTATGTGTGTATCCATGCATGTATATACATCTTTAAGAATAATTTCTGCACCTATATTCTAAATGTTCTTTTTTTTTCTATCACTTCAGGGACTTTGTGCCATAAACTATTCTCTTTATTCTACATCTTCGATTTCTCCTAGGTTCCTAGATTTTTAACGCTATTACTGTATTTAAGAACACTCAAATTATTTTTACCTTGACAATAAATTAACAACAGTTACAATAAAACATCTTATTCTACTAGTTACTGTTTTTGTCCTTCCTTTTTCCTTTAAAAATCACTCCTTCCATGACACGGCTCTTTTAACTTTGATTTTTCTCACTCCTCTTACTGATTCTTCTCTTGTTCCCAGACATCAGAGGCCTCACTGAAGTGACCTTTGCAGGATGATTTACTGTTGGTGTTTCCTATCCATCTGCTTCCATCCTCTCCTCACTTTTCACTCTCCCTGGACAGACGTACCCACTCTTGTGCTTCATTTAACCCACATGTGGTAATACCACCCAAATGTAGGTTTACCATCCATACTGTTTTCCAGGCTCCACTTCCACTTATCCAAAGACTTCCCAATTGACCTTCTAGCCTGTAGTTCTTCTGGTCTTGAGACCATTCTCCATGTAAAAGTTATGTTTCCAGAAGCTAAGTTTGAACACACACTTTCTTGATTATAGATAACACTTGCCCATTACCTAAAATAGTCACTACACAAACACATAGGTACATACACACTTTCTGATTTCTCTACTCAGACGGCAAAGCATGTATGTTCCTAAGTCTGGCCTTATTCTGTGATCTTTTTTTTTTTTTTTGGAGACGTTTTTGCTACAGGGTGCGTGCACTCGCCAGACAGAAAGACAGAAAGCAAGAAATCACCCCCCCAGGGGGGATGGCCACACCACAATTCCTTCTCCTCCATTCTCTTCTTGGGATCTTGGGCACGCACGCACACGCGCCCCAGTGTGAGTTTTAAGCCACCGGGTCTGGGACGCGAACCGTGGACGCGAACCACGGTCGACTATGTGGGAGTCCAGCGACATAGCCATTACGCTAACTGCTGGTCCCCAGTTTTCTTTCTTTTTACACTTACTACACTGAAATATTTTCAGTCCCATATATTGTGAGCTCCCTGAGACCAGACTCTATCTTATTCAGTTGTGTCTGAAATAGAATTTTCTTAGTTAATGTTCAAAAGATGATGGAATGGAAGTTCCTACCCACTCAGCCATGTAAGTTGACATTGATGAAAACACTTGCCAATACCACAGAACTCCAGGTTTATAATGATAGACCTTCTATTCCTGTTTTTTCTCTTGTCTATAGTAAGTATCATTTGCTGTGCTCACTCTTCCTGGAGCATCATTCGTCATGCTCATCTTCTACTGCATGCTCCCACCTTTGCTGGAGACATCAACACCTGCAAAACCCAGCTTTTCTCCTAATAACACACCTCTGAGGCAGCCTATGTTCATGGTATCTTCCTGTCCTTCATCCTGGTGATTTTTCTTTTCATCCCAGTTTAGGCACCTACTGAAGTTTGCACACCTCAAAACTGATAAGCAATCTACTAACACCACTTTTCATGTCTGTCTGGCAGCTCCTTTTCTTTCAGCCTTTCACTCCTTATATGTTAGACTCTCTTGTTCCTCCTTCTGTTACCTTTGGAACGTCTTTTCCCATCTCGTGTATCTCCTCCAAATAACAGCCTTTGGGCACCAAGGGAATTTACATTTTTTAAGAGTAAAATCAGGGCAGAGGTAGACTATGCAAAGTTAGATGCTTCAAATATAAGAACAGAGCTAGATCTTATTCATGTTCATTTGACTTCAGACTTCAAAGTTGCCAGCCAGAGTTCATTGGTCAGGAACTTAAATGATACTGACCACGTTTCACCACGTTTTATTTCCTCAGTAGTTGGGAATTTTTCATTCTTGTTTGTGTTCTTAGTTTCAATTTTTTAGGCAGCAGATTTTTATTTGATAAATTTACATAACTGAACCACTAAACATCTAAGCAGTTTCCATTGCTTATCGGTTACTTCCTTAGACTCATTATTTATTGGTGTCCTAACCACTAAAATAATAGTTTCAACTCATCTCTTCTTTCCTCTCCTTCAAGCTCCAGTGCAGCAGACGGGCTTATCTCTGCAACAACAGAGAAGTCCAGACTCTCAAGCATAAACTCTTTTATCTTCTTTTGTCTCTACTTTGGATATCCTCCCCATCCTTTAATTCTTGTCTTTCTACTGAAGAGAGTATCCTTTCTATTATTGCAGGAAATTTCTATAATCTATTTTTGAATCCTTTACGTGACCTCTCTGTCCAGGAACTTGACCCATTTATCCTTGTGTACTGCAGTTTAATTTTCCTTCCGCTGTTCCTCAATGTGTAAGGATGAAACCCATGTGCAGTTTATGATTTGTGCAGTGAGCTTAGAAGCCATTCATCATTTACTCACCTATCTCTCCATCCTTGCCTGGAACATAACCCTCTAAATTGATCTTCTCTCATCCCACTCTCCAGGAAAATACACTCTAGCTATCCTACCTCATTCTTCTCTTTAGTCCTCTGCCCCTCTTTGAACTTCGCTAGAGTTGTCCATGTATCTGGTACCCTTTTCTCATCCTCTCCTGCATAATACCTTCTCTTCATCCTAAAAATATCTGGCCCAGACTTACCTCTTCTATGTCACCCTCTTATATTCACAGGTTCTCAATTCCACACTTGACACACACCTTAGGCTTCCTTAATATATTAAGTGGAATCTCAGGTCTTGCCTCATGCAGTGTTCATTCCTCTCCTTTGGGAAAAGGAACTCTCTTGGTTCTATGTATCTATCCCTTCCTTAGCTCCAAGATTCTCCTCTACTACATGAGCCAGTGTTCCCTGTCTAACACAGGATCTGAGACACATAAGTATTTGCTTGAGTTTAGCACTAGACAGAGGAAATCTATTGATAGACACTCTGAATGTTTGAATAGCCCAGCAACTTAGAAGGCTTTAGTCTGAGTTTTTGTTAA